TCTGTTGGACTCATGGTAGCTTGCCTCTTCAAAGCAGAAAGAAGAACACAAATTCTTAAGCAAGTCTTTTAGAAAGATGGTGCCATGTCGCATAATCACGGGACCACATACCATCACGTTTGCCGTATTCCACTGATTACAAGACAATTACAGGTCCCTTCTAAATTCAGAGGGAAGGAATTATAAAACCTGGCTAAATTCTAGCAGTGGGGGCTTCCTTAAAATGAGTGAGCCGCCAGAATAATCAATTTACTTAGTATTGAATGCAAAGTCAGAGTAACAGACCCACGACAAGAGACCAAGGAGCCTGTGACCAGCTAATTAGAACTACTCTTATGACTTTAATTTTAATTATTTCCTGAATTTTGGTCATGTCTGGAATTGTCCAGATAGTCAATAGATGATTTTTTATATATATATGGAGTTCTCAAACCAAGCATCATAATGTTTAAAAAAGCAAAAACAATACTCTGTCTCCCATTTTCATTCATCCCTAGTGTGTGAACATGCTGTCCAATTCACATTGATTCCTACACTAGCATAATTTGTTATGAAGGTAGTTGAGTCTGCCTCTGGCTAACACCTGGTTACTAAAGAGTGCTTACCCAGGTCAGGGCACAGTATTTGTCTATGGTGAAATTCCTAGGATAGAAGGCAAAGTGGAAGTCTCCCTCTCCTGCTCGGGGAAAGCAAGCTTATCTTCTTAAACAATGAGCTATTTCTTTCTGGAATTGATTTTGGTGATTTAAAAATTTCTCTGTTAAGTTTCCATAGAAGAAATACTTGAACAATCCTAAATAAGCTTGTACAGTCTTAATATCTTCTTCACTGTACCTACTACCCCAAAATATGTTTTTATAGTTTCCTATTCTAGACCTTGCTAGGTCAGTTCCATGTCTCCTTTGGTACCATGAGGTATAGGTCAGAGGCAAAACATTTAGTGCAAATCAGTACTTTAAATCCAAGTTGCTATCAGACTTTAAAGTCTTTTGAGCAGTGGTTTGGACAACAAAAAATGTATGCAGCAAGTGGATGAACATTGGAATCCATTCAAAAAAAATCAAATGCTTGTCACTTCTGTCAGCATTTGTTACATTTATTGGATGACTAAATAATCTCTCTCTTAGACAGCTCTCAGAAACAAGGAGAGTTTATTCTATGAGCAAATTCTATCTGAAAAAGAACGTCTGACATTTTAAAGTACAATTGAAACTTTTTGCCCTAGTCATGGTATTTAATCAGGTGAGCCATTGAAACTAAATAAAACATAATCCCATACCAAATATTGAGAACAATAAACAAAATATAGCAGTGGAAGGATCTTCAGAGTACACTTGCAATAATGAAACTATTGCCAGCCACCTAATCTGGCCAGTTTATCCCTATTTACATAATCTGCAGAATGTTGCACAGAAGTTGGTATAGAAAACAGTTATTTCAGGCATTTTCTTTTTTTTTCATTTTCCTTTGGCTCACAAGACAAGGAGGTGGTCATTAATCTGAAGAGAGTTTAAGATTAGGCCATGGACTGAAGATGTTCCATCATTAACTTTTGAGTTCAAATGCTGAGGTTCAAGCAAAAGATGAAGCATTTGAGGGAATCTGTGTGACAGAGCATCCCATTCCTTTCCTTGCGCACTTCTGTCATATATTTCCACATGCTAAGCATCTTCTGCAGGAGCCGGGGAGGTAAAATATGGAAAGTATTCGGGATAGTTGGACAGGTCAAAAAAGTATATACAGTTCCCATTTTCCAGAAAGTCTTGGAGAAGATTGATGAGGATATAACCTACTTTATATTTTGTGTTTGGGGATCTCAGGAGAAAAAAACATTGCTCCCTTGCTTAGTGCAAGGAGAACTTAGTTTTCAGAGCAGAATTCTCCATACCACTGGTGACCGGAACAGAAATAGTGCTATGACATATGTATCTAGGCATGACAGGGCAAGCAATTCCGTACTCACCCATCTTCACCCTCAACTGTGTGTTCTGTTGGCTAAAGAGACACATAGAAAATATCCTTTCTATTGCAGATTGACTCAGACTATGTGGAAAGAGAAAAATGGTCTGCATGAGAATCTTCACTTCGACAGAGCTTGATCAGATGGAGAATCAGTGGACAGTTTCCATCAGGAACCTGCCGGATGAAGCTACTCCTGGGTATGTGGGTCGTGGCAAGGATACGGAACGCTGCTAACACTGGAGGAAGGTGCACATGGCCTGCTTATGACTATTAATGATGTATGTACTGAGGGGTATTGGGATGAATTATCACCTTGAGCACAAGGTCAGGCTACAACCTACTTTTCCCTTCTCTGCAGTAGCATTTACATGAGATCCCCAGGGGATAGGGGGACAAATGTTCCAAGCCCAGTATGACTAATTCATCTGAAGGTTCTAGAGTAATTTCTTGCATCAGGACAAATGGGGTGGGTAGGGAAAGGGGTATAAAACAGAAATTAAATCAGGTTACAAAGAGGAAACAAAACCACTCTTTTGCACACCTGGAAGTGTGACTGTGACATTTATACTCATCAAATCTGTACTTGGGTAGGCAAAGTTATAAATTCTGGAATATAAAGTTTTAAAAGTACTTTTAAAAGTACACAATACCAGTTCTATTTCTTTACAAATAATAAATACTCATCAAGCTTTAAGAAGCCAGGTTAAGAGTTTTACTCTTTCACTAAAATCACCCTTCTCTGCTATATCTCTGTGGAGACAATCTGCTCCCCATGTGTGCTTTGTGACTATTATATATGGATAATTTTTGTCCTGTGTTTGCCCTAACATGTTTCCAGAGTGAGCAAAATGATTGTGTACAGTCGGACATGCCCTAGGACATGCCCTAGGTATCCCCCAAAACATCTTGCTTTCATAAGTTTAAGACAGCACCCCTCTAAAGGAACTTCAGCAAACTTTCTACTTTTATGAATGTGTAATTTTTTTCAAGTTTGACTGTGTATCATCATGTATTATATACACCGATGCATGCAGAAGAGTTCTATACACAGTGTGCAAGAGAACATAGATACTTTAATGTAGGACTGCCTGACCTTTGAACTGCCTTGAAATATAAACTGTTCAGATTCACACGTATTGTTCAGTTATATCAATAAGAGTACAATAAACATCTCTACCCCAAATGGACAGAAAACTGCACATAATTGCAATACAACTTCAAAAACGATGCTGTGCTCAACAAAAGTAAGGCTTACACGTGCCAAGACCATATGGGATCGTCTGGAAGAAAAACAATGAAAGAAATTTGTCTAATTGTACCACATAAGCACTGAAGAAGGAAATATGTACTTAAATATCTAATTAAAAGCAATCCTTGTATGGAAGATCTCCATCTTGAGCTGTGTGCCTGCGTGTGTGTGTGTGTGTGTGTGTGTGTGTG